CATAAGGACGCTGTCAGAGCCTGTCAACGTTGATTAGCTGCGTATATACGAATGTGAATCACATCATATGCTGGAACAGCCAGTCGCCGGTCACTTACTGACTCACACTGTAAAACAGAATCAATTGTTAACGTATTTATTTTCATTGCAATTCAGGTTAGATTTTTTTTTTGTGTGCAACGCAGATTTTCTGTGTGCTGATACCGTGACAGCAGTGCGTGATTGCGCGCGCGTGCAGCTTAGAGGGAACATTGCTCTCAAGTGTGCGTGCACTGTCTTGGGAACTAGGAGTCTCACACACCAGTCACAAAATTGTTTTTTATGTTTCGATCAGGCTGACAGGAAACGAGTAAGGACGTCTTCCTGTAGGCAGAGCTTACAGACAAGGCTTGACCTGCCTGGGTTTTAGGCTGTTCTGTGTGACTCAGAGCTCTGAACTCACCTCTGGCTGATCCTGAAGAGTTGTTACTTAAAGTGCTGCCACTGAAACAAACACAGTGAAAATGATGAATTATGTCAGGCCTGGGCCTTCACATAAAAACTGATTTTAAACAAACATATCATGGATCCTGGGGTACGCTCGAACACGCAAAAACTCCTTTTCCTAACCAATCCTCCTTAACCTCGATACAGGTGAAGGAAAGGTGCACTCGTGCGGTAGAGCAAGGCCGACCATCATGCTTTAATGCAAAAACATCCAGATGATCGCTTTTAGGAATGATCAGATGGTCTGTAGCTATGAATTGTGGGATGCTTTCATGAAGAACGTGTCTCCCCCGCTAAAGGAGGTGCAGACTTCAGACCGCTCGGACCGAGCACAAACCTTCCTAAATTGAGTGAAACTGAGTATTGGAACGTACCCCGGTCCAAATACTGATGCATCACGGTGACTAACCTGTTCCTCTCGCAGTTCCTCTCAGGTGTCTGTCTGGGTGGAGTGGGAGGAGCCGACTGCTGGCTGCAATAATTCCTCTTCCCACCGGGGGCAGCAGAGCTGTGTAACGTGTCCCAATATATCTCATTGGAGACCATCTCTAGGCCTCCTCGGGGAGAACCGGAGGGGGAGGATCCAGAGAGCCTGCTGTTGTCATGACTACCCGTGCAGGAAATGAAGGACGGCGCCTGCAAATGCTCTGTGGGAACAGGGGAAGAAGAAGAAGCGCGAGGAGTCCCCTGCATCGAGGCGGGGGGGACGATGCGGTTCAGCCTCGGGGGAACCGGCGGTAACCCTCCAGTGTCTGACAGAGACCTGCTGCGGCCGTTCCCATTTCTCTCCCCATGGCTCGACCTTCGGCTTGGTGACGGCGCCTTGTCACTGAGGTCAGGGGTCAAAGCACTGTCTGCTGTGGGCATGTCCGCTGAGCTCAGACTTTCCAGCACAGTGAGGCAGATGGACTCCTGGGAAAGCCTCCTAGGTAGGGGTGGAGCAGGGTCGGGTGTTGGGGTGAACTGGATGGGCGCGGTCCTGCGGCGATTGAAGACAGTTCTCGGTTTGGGGACCGGCTTCACTGTTGGCCTGCCGCCATCGGAGTTTGCCAGCATGGCGGCGAGGTCGGGAGCAGAGCTGTTCCTGATCACCTCCTGACGGGGCGACTCGGTGCGACCGCGCTTCGAAGAACAAACTGACTGACAGCGGTCACGAGGGAGATCTGCGTTCCGATTGGCTCTTTGGCCTTCTGTCCTCTCGATGTAACCGACCAATCGTAGGATTCTCTTCCTGTGTCCTGTGGCAGTTATGCCCAGACTGACCAGTGCATCGCTGTCGAGGTGTGTGAAGTCTCTAGCCAATAGGAGACCGGCTCGATGGAAGGTGTCCAGGTACCTGGAGGAAGACAGAAGCCTGAAGTAATTCTGATTGGCTGGACGGGAGCTGCCCTTTGATTGGTTGTCAGTTTCTGTGATAACGTGTTAAAAATCACATTTGTTGACATGGAAAGAAGTTCATTTTTAACTGTTACACATGCACCCAGTTCTGTAGGCAGCTGAGCCCACTCAGTCACACTGAGGACCACGTGCTTTCATCTGTCTGCATTTCTAAAGTAGAAAAGCAGTCTGTGAGAATGACTGCAGTCAGCCTGAGGCTGTTCGCAGACAGGTTGTCTCCTGTGTGATCGCAGAACGGTGAGTGTGCCGCGAGCTAACCATGCATGACAATCATAGACAACCTCACACTGTTTTTGTAGCTGTGAGGAGGATGCTGCCCTGATTTTCCTTGTGTGGCCGAGCCGTCGGCTCACTCTGAGTTTGGAGGTAGCTTTGGCGAGCTCAGTACGTCTACATTATCTCTGGATGGCAGTGCAGGTAACAAGCCCTCCAGTATGTTCATTTCCATCCATCCAGCCGGAGCCTATCCCAGCTGTCTTAGGGCCAGAGGCAGGGTACAACCTGGACAGGCCACCAGTCTGTCACAGGGATGACACATAGGCACAGACAACCATTTGCACCTGTGGGCAATTTAGAGTTTCCAGTGAACCTAACCCCACTAACTGCATGTCTTTGGACTTTGGGAGGAAGCCAGAGTAGCCAGAGAGAACTCACGCACACACGGGGAGAACATGCAAACTCCACACAGAGAGGCCCCGGCTGTATTTTAACTTATTTAATAGAATATCAATATTTGGAGTCCCTGTATCGATACAACATTGCCACACAAACTATCTGATGATTGTGCCATTTCGGTTTTCCCCCATTTCATGCTGCACTCCTAAATCCTGACCTCTCCAGATGAATCGCAGAAAGCAGCCTCTCAACTGGCGTGCTTCCATCCAGGGAGCCCATGACGACCAACACAGAGTCCGGACTGGGCTTCATCTCCTCCACCAGCCGTAAACACCTGGGCCATCGCTGACCTACAGCAGTGGCGGATGGCGGTCGTCCATCTGGTGGAGAAAGAGGTGAAAGATTGATCTGCTTTAGATATCATCAGAAACTGGTTTAAGTTCTGCTGCTTCACTAACCCCACACTGAAACCAGAAAACCAGAAACACTGGATCACACACAACAGGAGCCAGCCTCTGTAACCATTCATTCCTCCAGCAGGGGGCGTTAAACGTTTCTTTGAACCGCATCCTCTAATTAAAGATCAATAAACAAACTGCCTCCACACACCGTGTAGATGGCACCACTGTCACCTTTGACCTCTGGAGCTCACGAGCCCCTCTTTCTGAGAACTAAAACCACAGAAGAAGAAGAAAGTATGATGTCAGCAGGCAGACACAGCTGTACGATTGTCTCTCTGCGTCTGCAGCAGGCTGACCTTTGACCTCTGCACAGCAGCAGAGAATCAGACAGAGGGTCACTGTGGGGATAAAGGTTGAGGGTTCCTGCCATGAAACCCTGACGCCCCTGCTGCTGCATGGAAAAACTCAGGGAACAAACTGTGGGCCCAGAACAGACCCACATCTGGATCATCTGCTGGATCAACAGCTGGAAGTCACACACAGCCAATGAGACAAGGAGAACTCTCCAGCTCAGAGCAGCACACCTCACTTCAGCCG